CCACCACATAGAATAGAGACCCTGCTTCACCACCGGGGCCACCTCCGCCAGTCCCTCCCTCCTAACTCTAGCTAATACCAACTTGGAAAGCAATGCAGGCGAGTCTTGCCAAGATCAGGGCTTCCAGTTGCTTATCTCAACTTTGGAAAGCTTGCCCTTTTGTCCAGGAACTTCCACCTGTCTCTGGCATTCTTTGATTTAATCATCAATTAGTGAAATCTGCTAATGACATGCTATAAGGAAAAATACCAACAGGAAAGAGTAGAAACAAATGGAAACATTGAGTCTGGCCCCACTTCTTTGGGAAAATTCCAGAAGTAAGGAGTAGATGGAAAGGTGAAAACCTAGAAGAGAAAGCATGTGAGACAGCTGTGAGCCATAGAATGTTTGACATTTGCATAAATATACATAAGACCATATTCTATATTAGTTAAAATATGCAATTATTTTCATATAATTTTCCAAATGTGATCACCCTCAAACACTGGAGCTTCAGTTTCCTTATATTTCACATTATTTCACCATTATACAAGTTAAGCCTACTTCAACCACAAATCTATATCACAAAAATGTCTCCACATTTATGCAGAAACATTTCAAGTTAGAGGAGTGACAGAATAAGTGGATAATCCCCAGATTTGAATCATACTAACAACTCATATATTTATCCTTTATGGGTTTAGAGATTCCGAAGAGTTAGAGACTTGTTAGTTTGGTAACTTTCCAGGTCCATCTACAAATCCTACCAGTTGGAAACAAGATTGGCCAGAGTTAACTGTTGAAGCTGAGTCGTGGGTTCATGGAAGTTCAGTATTCTATCCTCTATTCTACTTTTGTACATGTTTAAAATTTCCCATGATAAAGTTTTTAAAAATAAAATCTATCTGCCTGCCCTGAAATCTATTTTAAAATAGATTCTATCAGTCCACTTCATCTAAGTCTTAGTGCAGCAGAAGTCACACGCTAACCAGCCAGGCTGAAGAATAACGCGTTCTTTCTCTCTGTTCCCTTCAGCTCCACTTTGCAAATTGTCTTTATTGAATTCTCACATTCCTATCAGTCACTTATTCAGAGTTCCTGTTCTCAGATGTCACTATAGACTTTCTGTCCAAGACTTCACGTCTAATATCCATATATCAAAGTGGAGAAGAGAAAAATCCTGAGCCTAAAGTTCTATTATATATCCTATAGTTTGGGGTCAGCAGACATGATTACAAATAAATGCCTTGAGCAAAAATAATGTAGGACTGCTCCAAAGTGCAAAAGAATTTTCTAAAACAATAGATGAAATTCTAGATTAGAAATTCTAAAACAATAAATGAGTGCTTACCCCATACCACTCTTGGGGAGGTCTTACAGTCTTTGTGCACAGAAGTCTATAGCTTGCAAAGAATTTTAGCCAAAAGATAAATAGCTAAAATCAAACAGTTTATTTGCCCTCGGGGAAGACTGTAAGGATTAAAATGATGCTTTATCTCCTTAGCTGGCTTGCTGGGGGGTGCTCTCCCTCTCGCTCCCAAAATAAGAAGGTGGCTCTTAGATCTTTGATTTAAACCCTTACATCAGTTTCTCAAAGATACCATTTTTCTTTCCTCCCTTCCTATTCTTTCTTTTCTTCCTCCTTTGTAATATTAACAAGCTAAACAGGAACAGCAGTCAACAGTCCTCGGTTCTCCTGTCCTAGGCTCCTCCACTCCACCCTTGCCTGAGAACACGCATTGGTTTTCACTCAACCACCTCTTCTAGACACAAAGCTTCAGAGGTGAACAGGATTCTGTCTTCAAGGTCATTTTCCTTTCCTTTGACCCTGACAATCCCTCGTTCCATTGCCCCATCTTGCAGAAAGGTGAGGACCCGTTTAACTTAAGCCTTGGTTTGGATTCAAGATAACTGTTGTCAGGTTTGGGGTTTGTTTAACAAAAACCCGTGGACAAAAAAAAAAAATGTATATAAAATAAAGGCAAGACGGATACAACAGTTTCTTTGAGAAAAATCGGGGTATTTTCAGGCCACTCCCACTAGAGGGCGCTAGACCCTGCACTATGTCCTCTAACATCTCCGTGGACACCCGCCTTCCTGCCTCACTGCCTCTGACCCCAACCCAACCCTACCATACGAAAAAGCTCTCTGGCATACATAACAAGACCCGGGCAGAACTGGGACCTTCTCTGTTGGATAAAATTGGGGTTCCTGAGATAGATTTTGTACCTTCCCTGCAGATGGAGCTCAGGCCCCATCTTGCTGGTTTGAGACTGCCTCAAATCGGGGTTCTGACACCTAACTCAGGGCTCTAGAGACAGATGCACCTGAGGCTGAGAGACTCTAAGGGTAGGTGTGGAGGTGCCAGGAGTCTATAAATAATGAACAAATCCTGCTCATAATCACCTTATATGCCTATCATGTTTTCCAGAAGTTTCTACACATCACAATTGTGCTCTGACATCATTTTATAGGTTAGGAAAACCCGAGGTCTAGATTTATGCAAAGTTACTTGTGAGAAGCCTCCCTTGGCATCCAGCCCAACACCACCATCCCCCCTAGGCAGGAGCTCCTGCAGAGCAATTAGACTTCGGGACACTACCGACAACCTTGAATGTGTGTGGCTCTTTTTCCTTCTAGCCATGAGAACAGCAGATAAAGGTTGAGCCCAGGAAGTGGCTTATCTCGCAATCTAGCACACTCTGCTGCCCATGCTCTCCAGCCAGACCACCAGGAACACAAGTGTGGTTGAACAAACTGTGATTAATGCTCACAGCAGCGAGAGACCACACGCCTTGGGGAAGCGTGGGCTTCTCAGGAAGAAGGTGTCAGAAAGAACTTACAGGGTTGGAGCTTTGCTTTGGTAATTTGGAGGGGGGTTTAAGGAACAGGGTTTCCTTCTGGATGGGGTGCTGTCAGTAAGTGGGGATACTTCTTTAACTGTGTACCTTAATTAATCTCATCTAGGACAGATGAGAGCAAAGCTAACGCTGTCACTGGTCAAGCAGCAGCAGTGACAGATTTGGTGGGAGAGGGATGTTTGGTGTTTTGTGGTTTGCAACGACCTTGTTCTTGTCTGTGCTTAGATAAAATTATGAAGTTGTCTTGTTTATTATCTCACTTGAACATGGTCACAGCATGACCTCGTCTGAGGTTGGTGTTCTGTGAGACGGTTTATGTCCAACCCGAAAATACCATGTCCCAGCTGTCCTAGCTGTCTCAGGCTAGTTCCTGGCTGTGAGGTACCACTTTTCTTTTTCTCATCTCTCTTAGTCTTGTCTTATATGCCTGGAAGATGTTGTGGGGATTAGATAAAACGAAACAGCATAACATAGTACCCCAGAACTTCTTAATTATTTAAGTAACTAGCTAGTCTGTGCTTTCCATTGTTTTGGCAATTGTGTCTTTATCTCCCTTGAGGACCTGTGCAGAAGGGCCCCTTTGCCAAATACCACTCAGCATCCTAACCTCAACATTATGTCCGCCATCCGATTCAGGTGACAGACCTCTAACATCCTAGAACCACAGTCACAGTCGGGACTTGAACTCAGATCTTACGCCTCCTGGTCCTTTGCTTTCCCCACGTGCTATGATGATGACATCAGCTAGACTGGCCTGCACTAGAACCTGGACTTGAGCCCAAGTCCAGCAGGGCTTTTTCACACTACTATTGAATCTAAAATTCTCCTATCAGAGATCAAGGCCAGGGCAACAACAGAAAGGGCATCGAATCTGTAGGTTGTACATCAATCAGCAAAAGGCTGGGGGGATTGTGGGGTTCACTGGGGTCCCATCTAACCCTGCAGGGCACATGCACGGATGGGGCAGATGCTGCAACAAGACCCAAGGCTGGAGGCTAAGCAGTGATGTTAGAAGGGTCTTAACTTCTTCCCGCTCCAAGTTATACCCCTTATCCTTCTACATTCTGTAAAAATTCCCATCTGAGGGCAGATTCTGCAGTGAGCTTGTTCTTCATAAACCTTCACAGGCTCAGACGACATAGTTTAAAACACCAGGTCAATCAATGAACATCTAGCAACAGGGCTCCTCTCCATTCTACAGCCTTCACCTCTACTTCTGCTGAAGCCTCAAACACCCAAGTTGGCAACTACAACACACCTAGGCAATTTATACTTAGGTTTTGTTCTCTGGGCTTTGGGGTGCAGTGATAGGAAAATATGCAGAAGCAACTTCTTTTCAAAGAGGTTTCAAACACTCATTCTGGGAGTGGGAATGTGGGGGAGGCCAATAGAATGAGTCTCTTCTTCACACAGGTTTCATAATCCATTAAAAAATATTTTCTGGGGCCAGCTCAGTGGCGTAGTGGTTAAGCTTGTGCACTCTGCTTTGGCAGCCTGGAGTTTGCTGGTTCAGATCCTGGGCGCAGACCTACGCACCACTCATTAAGCCATGCTGTGGTGGCATCCCATATAGAACTAGAATGACTCACAACTAGGACATACAACTGTGCCCTGGGGCTTGGGGGAGGAAAAAGAAGGGGGAGGATTGGCACAGATGTTAGCTCAGTGCCAATCTTCCTCATCAAAAAAAAAAAATCTATCCTACAGCATGGGAAACAGGCAATTCTCAACCTGGAGAAAAGCTCTTGAGTAAAGAGACTCAGCTGCTGCACGAGGTATGAGGGCTCACTCTTAAAATTTTTCTGGTGTTTATTTTCAGTTGTCTCAGCACAGAATGTTCTCTCAGGCAAGGTCAACTAGGAGAGGCTCCAAAATACAAATGCAGTTGAGTGGGACCACAGGAGGAGGACTTAGTTAAATATATAGAAATGGTGGCTCCAACTACCAAATTATTTTGTTTCCAGCCAAGTCAACTCGAAGTCTCAGTTTTCTTCTGAAAACCCCCTATGACTAAGAGGAGGTAAGAACAAAGTAGCATTTCAACCCACAGCTCAAGTGTCCAACCTTCCCAAGAGGAGTTTCTGTGGAATCCCACACACCTAAGACCACCCGTATAAAAACGCATCCACGTAACTTACAACAGGAAGATGACGCCTCCGAGATTGTTAATAAATACTTTATTATGAATCATCATGTGGGAAACGAGCACAAAATTAGGAATCGTTTTTACAAAATCTAATGTTGTTTCTGACTCTGGTGTCTCATAACCAAAACGAAGTAATTATTCATTTGTTTGTAAGCTACTAACGTGCTTTGTTCAAAGCACTATTAAAACATAAGGGAACACAAAAAAGGGAACACAGGTTGCTAAGCCAATAAAATTATCAGTCACATAGCTTAAGAGCTCTCATGCCCTGATTGATTTTGGTAAGTTTGGATAGTCTCTGATTATTGGATAATAATGTAAAGAGATTGTTTAGATATTTGATTCATAAAATCCACAGTTAAGACTTTCAATATTCTGGCTCTTTTGACATGAGAATTAAGAGGCAAATGCTCGAGTCCATTGCTGCAACGTAATGGATTTACACTTCATTTAAAAAATTTCTGTCCTCCCTACAAGGAGCTAAAAGGCAGGCTACGGCAACACGGAAGAGCGGGAGGGCAGGAAAGAGGGCTTCAAGAAGTGGATCCAAGACAAAAAGGAAGCGGCCTGCTTTATCTCACAGTGCCCACCGGAAGCAGAGCCATCTGCTCGGTAAGACCCAGGCCGAACATCAAACTCTATGATGGTGATGAATTCCCTCCACACACGTTCTTCCCACAATCCAACAAATTTCTTTTCCACAGACTATTCTTCTGAGGCAAGAAACTAGAAGAGGGACCCTCTCTGCTTCACCTGTTTATCCCTAACCACTACCACAATCCCTAGCATATAACAGGTGCCAAATCTCTCCACCTGCGGCATCTCTAGGACAAGTCTCAGTGGTCTGTCTTTAGCACCATCCCCACAATCAAAATCCTCCCTCAGGAAAAAAAAAATTACTTAGCAAATATTTTTATCTTCCTATAAATACGAGGTAATGGAAATGGAAGGCTTCCTTCTCTGTTGAAGGTGTTAAGTATCAATGAACAGAGAGGGACGGACATTTGGAGAAATGGAGAACATTTCTCATTCCAGAAATTGTGTGCTGCTGGTGGTGACAGACCTCTCCTATAAACTCCACTTGACAGATGGACAAAATGAGGCCTAGAAAAGAAACCGTTTCCTGAGGTCTTCCCCTCCTACAGCCTTCAGGGGGGATATAAGCGACTTTCCCAAGGAGCCTCTGTTCCAGCTAAGTCAGGGTCAACAGAAGTGCCCCCAGAGAAGATGGAGGGAAACTGGGAGACCTAAAGGCACACTGCCTGACTCTTGGGCTGTGGGATTTTATTCCCATAATTGGGCCCAGACAAAAGTATTCAGATGACAATCTTGTGCCCACACACGGACCCCCCGAAGTGACTGGGTGGGGAAAAAAAAACCCTTAGGCATGTTAACAGCAAGTTGAGTGTCAGCCCTGGGAGGCCACACTCTGAGACCACAGGACATGCACCTGCACCTGGCCCCCTGTTGGGAGTCCTCACAGCTCAGAAACCACCCAGCAGCCTGGGGATGGCTGTCCGTACCCCAGGGCCAGGACCGTACTCCTACTCCTACTTAGAAACCAGATGCCGACGGGATCGCAGCACTGGAAGCCACTTCCTCATTTTGGAAATGGATCTTTTATTTCATAACTGGTAAAAGAGATTTTATATGCCAAGTCCCAGCTAAGCAACTCATTGTGATGCCTAAGTTACCAATACCCCTAATTTTTTTTTCACTGATACTCTCAATTTGCTATTCCCCAGATATAGGTTTCTGGATTAATCCTGTTGATCTTTTTCACTCAAAAAGTGGCAAGTTACCTCCAGAACACTGACTTTGTCAACCTTGACAGTAGTACTGTCTTTGCATGTTAACAATGACCAGAATGTCCCTTACATTCCACCGCTTCAAAACTAAGTATGGAACGATTACCTGGACATGAGACTTGCCAATGACTCCCATTTTATAAAAAGGATTTTAAGTCCATGTGTGTAACATTACTCGGATATAATTCCCTAGGAAGAGAATTCCTATTTTATTTATTTACTTTTTTGCAAACAATTTTAGAGGCAGGGTGTTAAACTGATTGAAATTTCACAAGATTGACATTATTGCTTAAAGTGCTTGAATTGGTTACATTAAAAAAAATTAAGGTACAAATTATTTCAAATAAAAACTAAATTTTCTTTTTAGCAACACAGTCAAATGAATGCCACACAAATACAGTAACTATTTTGCTTATACAAAAATGGAAGCCAAAAATAAATTAATGTAATACTGGAAAACAGAAATTTAATAGGCAGAAAAGTAGGAAATAATTTTCCCCGACCCATGCCATTTACATGAGTTAATCACAATAGTGCTGATAAATGCCTTGACCATATAATAGCAAACGAGGGCAAAACATTTAGTGCACAACATTTCAATACATATGAATATACAAAGTTGATCAGAATGCAATGTTTAAAGATAAAACCCATCTGTAATAAAGCTACACTCCAATATCTAAAATAAGCCCTAAGCTCCAGTTAGAACACAGTTCATTGTTAGGCATGCCCATGAAATTAAGGGTACCCATGAAAATAAACGCATAGGGACCATTTCTGTCATTTTTTTTCCCCCATTTCATCTGAAATCCAAAATATATGAAGCCATAAAACCAAACATGACTGGCTTCCTATTCAAGCCAACACCTTCTCGTTTGTTCCTTGGCTCTCTTCAAACCAGTCCACTTTGTGGTGCCTCAGAAAGGAAAAGGCATCAACACAACAGGACTGATATCAGCATTTTACCGAAATTTACTTTTAAACAAATGACTTTTTAGCATACTGTACCATAATCAAGATGCTAAACTAGTAAGTAACCAATAAAGCAAACATTTCTTCTCTTTTTTAAGTGTAAAACACTTAACTTATTTTAAAACACCCAGCAGTTAAAAGAAATACAGCAGGCCTACTCACTCCTGCCAGAAAACGACACGCAAAAACCCTGGCCGTTTGAGGGAATATTGCTGCGCTCTTGTGCTATCACTGACCTCAGAAGGGTCTCACACATCCCAGCCATTCTCTGCTTTACACGATGAAGGAGGGATGAAAAATTAAAAAGTGTTTGCTACTGTCTTTACATAAAGTGAAATGATTGGGGGGGGAAATGTAGCTGCCTAGTGTTTGTTTCATTTATTGAAGAGGAAGAGGGAAGAAACGACCAGATAACTCTGAAGTTTAAAAAACTGACGGAGGGTTGGTGGGTGAGTATGTTTTGGTCTTTTCCCCATCTTCTTTTCCTGCATGACACTTTAATGTCTTTGCATTATCTTTCATACTTATTTTTTTATTCCAAAAATCTATCCATGAATACTGAATTTTAACTGACCCTTTCTATTAAAAAGAATTATTTCAGTTAAGTTAGTGGGAAAAACTCTTTCTTTGTGCATCCAAAGGAAAAAGAAAATGTCCTGAATTTATGATTTAGCATTTAGATATTAATTCTACAGGCTTCCAATTGAAACTTTTTTTCCTAATAAATTAGCTTCAAGAGTCACTTCAAAGATAATTTTAATAGTTTTTTTAATTTCCAAATATATTAGAGATCAACCATCATTTTTTTAAACTTTGCAACCTGCAGTTAAATATATGGGTTATATATAGTACAAACAGTTCCCTATATCAATCACCCTCAGTTGGAAAGTGTCTCTCCTTAAACAGAATAAAAACTCACTTTCCAGGTAAGTGATTACTGCATATGTTTCATGGAGGAAAAAAAGACAAAGTATTTATAAATATGAATTCGCCTCTAAACAAGGCAAGGTATATTTTCGTCACTTGTATAAAACAATAACGTGAAGATCACCCTGTTTTTGTCTTCTCCAGTGAAAAGTAAAACATTTCACTTCAAGCATGAACGAATGAGCGTTGGCATGCTTATTTAAGTTCTGAGCAATAAACAGTTCAAGATATTTCAAAGATAAGAAATCCAGTTTTCATCTAGATAAAGTGCTATGCTCTTAATTGTTGCAAAATGGCCATTAACGTTTTCAATTTCAGTTTTAGTTCACATTATGCCAAATGTTTGCATGTTCATTCGCTGATTTACTAGGTAACAAAATAACATGTTCACAGTATATTATAGTGTATGGAAATCAACTGACCTCCCAAAGGAAGCCAAGAGCTAGACTCATAGTATTTGTAGGAAACCAAAAACCAGCTCAATGGCAAAACATCAAATTGACCCTTTTAATAAAAGGTACCAATATTCAATGATCTAATAAATACATATATAACAAAAGTGAAAAAAGTAAAAGTAACTATGGTGAGATGAGGTTCTTCCAAAAAACTCCGTCTTGTCAAGCATCCTAGGAGTCTGAGCCAAAGAAACGCTGCCATTTTGTTCATTCCTCCACCTGCCCACTGACACTTCCTTTGACCCACCTTCACACCCAGCTAACTCCAGTATTCCTTCTAGGAAAGGTTCCATATTCGTCCTGGGACTTGCCAGTGCCTCAGTAAACAGGCTGAAATGTTAAAAAGTGAACAGTTGTACAACGTGGCTGATGGTAGTAAAGGTACAGTGCCTTTGTTCTTCCTGAAAAACAATGCTGCTGGTACTGACTGGCTAAGGAGAGCTGTGCTGCAGGCGTCACCGTGGTGTTGCAGTCCTGGGACCACAGACTGCGAAACACCAGCAGGATTGCAAAGATACCCTGGAAAGCTTAGCAGTGCCAGATAAAGGATAGATACAACTCACACAACCTGACAGAAAAAAAGTATCACTAAAAACAAACAGCATAGAGTTATTTTCCTGAAACTTGGTTTTGGTAGAAAGGTAAGAAAGGTAACTTTTCACTGTCCACAAAAGCCTCCTCCTCTTGGCTTTGCCTGCCCTGAGCTCCACACCTTCTGAGCCCCTGGAATTCTAACAGCAACGCAAGCACAGCCCCCGGGCAGATGCTGGCCACCATGAACAGCTTTTCTTCACCCTGTTCCACTGGGAGGATGATTTTAGCATCGAGGTTACTCACGTTTAAACATTTTCACTTGCACAAACTTAAAGCTATAATTGCAGCCCTAAAAGGGGAAGATCCATCCAATTTTTCTGTCCTTCGGTCAGAAGAGAGGCAGAGAAGCTAAAAGTGGGTCGCAACGTTTCCAGGGGCAACTTAAAGGAATGCATTGAAAGGAGACCCCGGGAGCCATTTAGGAAGTTTAGCAAAGACCCCAAATAGACTGTAGACATTCGGAGGAAATGTCATTCTAATTCAGCCAGTGGCACAGCATTTACCCAATCCTAAAATTAGCAACTGTTATTAATATAAATCTTACTACAATCTGATTGCAGTTAACTCTACTCAGACTAAAATAAGACCACAAGTAGTGCTGTATGTAAAAAAACAAGGGGAGAGTGTCTAACACAGCCAGACCACTGAGACTCAGGGTAATACCACTGGCGGGCTGCTGGGGAAGAAGAAAGTCTGCAGAGAAACCAGAGAATAGTGCTTTGAATATTTTCCCCCACTTGAGTTAGTCCCACGGTTCTTTAAGTTATTCTCTTGACTGATAGAATAAAATATATCCAGATTCTGAATTTTTTGATATATCTGATGTCAGGCCATAGAATTCTTCAATAGCTTGGGCATCTATTTTCTGCAATAAAAGAGAAATAAAACAATACAATTGTTCAACATGATTACTGGGAGAAGGAAAGAAAAACTAATGTAATGCACGAGAAAATGTAAGACACACTGTTATAAAATCACAACTGGGAATTTCAACAGCAAACAGAGAATTCCACAGACTTGAAAGAGGGAGATTACTACATGAATTCCACATCGCTGGGGAAGAAAGCCACCCTCTAATTTATCAGCAACCATACGTGGGCACTCTTTGAAGAAGCCAGGACTTCTGTCTTCCAAACGGTAAACGGGGGGGTCTTGGGAATAACCTTAATTCTCTCAGGCCATCAGAGTTCACTCCCTTCAGTGTTACCCTCGTGGGCTAAAATAGACCGTGTCTTTGCGTGTGGAATTCTCTCCAGCTAGCGTTCCTTTACAACAAAATCAATACATGGAATACTTTAATGTAATATAAAGATTTCCAGGTCCAAGAGACTGGAAAAAAACATTTTTAAATAATAATCAATACAAGAAGAATTTGGTATAATGAAATAATTTTGATAGAACTTCAAAGTTTATTATTTGGTCTGTATCAGAGAGGGCTTTCATCACAGTAGAAAACAGGAGTTACATATAATTTATGGTGGCATAGAGATCCCACGTGTGTGGCTGGTCAGTTAACTTAACGAGAACACAGCATTAATAAGTCCATGCTCACATCCCTTTTCCTTTCCTATTGAGAATGGGGAGCGGCAGGGTTTAGTTCTGAAAGAAATCTAAGTTGTTTCCAAGTCAGATTATGGGAAAACAGGCCTAGTTTAGAAAATGTCCACACATACACATCCCCCCAAATTCTGTCTCTGCCCTACCCCTAGTGTAGGATCATCTGCATACCCACCTCTACAATGTCATCATCAAACAGAAGCCAGAAGCCATGACTTTTCACAATAGTAATATAATGCCCACGATTTGGACCACTGGAAAAGAGCAGACAAAAGCAAGTTACCACGTGAACACTTACTTCTTTTTTTGCCCCTCAAAACCCCAGTGCATGGTTGTGTATCCTAGCGGTAAGCTCTTCCAGTGCTTTTTTGTGAGCTGCCGCCACAGCGTGGCAACCAACAGGCAGGTGGTATGGTCCCGAGATGGGGAAACGAACCCAGATGGCCGAAGCGGTGAGAGTGTGGAACTTTACCCACTAGGCCATCAGGGCTGGCTCCACACTTATTTCTTTACAAAACTCTAGGTAACTCTTTCTAAGCAGTGATTTCCTAGAAAAAACTCTATGATCAGGACAGAGAACTTGCTATAGGTCATGTCTGCGTCCACAATTGTTTGCCCACAATTTACGGAGGACAGCCAGGTGCCAGCTGTGCTGGGTACAACGGAATGCAACGATGAATAAAACATCTGTCTTCTAAGGACTCACAACCCAGGAGGGAAAACAGACATTCAAATTCAACTAATATTAACAAGTAATTACTGTATACCTGTGATGTGTCAGACCCTATTCTGACTGGTCAGGCAAAAAAGCAGTGAACCAAACAAAGGCCCCACTTCCTTGGGGTGAGGGTTTGATAGGCAATAAACAAACTAAAATATAAGTATAATCCAAGTGGTGGTAAGGGCCATGAAGAAGAATAAAGCAGAGTAAGGGGATAGTGAGTGACACAGGGAAGGTACTATTTGACACGAAGGGGTGAAAGACGACCTCTCTGATAACATGAGATTTGAGCAGAAGGAAATTTCCCTGAAAGAAGGGAGGGTGGGAGGGGGGCCTGATAAGCCATGTGACTATGATGGGAGTTTCAGGAATAGGTAGTAGCAAGCACAAAGGTCTTAGGGGAGGGGGGGTAGCTCTTGGTATGTCCATGGAACAGCAAGGAAGCCAGAGCCCAGTCAGCCAGGGGGCAGGGGGAGGGGGGTGCCAGACTGGCGGGGAATGGCATATTATCATGGTTAAGATTTTGGACTTTGCTGTGCGTGAGCCAGCCAGACCCTGAGGGATTGTGAGGAGTGACATGATCTGATTTCATTTCAGAAAGATGTTAAACCATAACATATAATAACAAGTAGAAAAATAAAAACAGTATGGAAAAAAGGAGAAAGAGCAACTGAACCGCTGTTACCATGTAGTTATATTTGCACAAGTGAGGAGATTTTTAATCCTAGATCTCGAGTTTTGTTTTGGTTTTTTTTCAATGCACCATTAAAGCTGAAAAGCCAAATTTCCCCTTTTTTGTTTGCTTTAAATGCGAGATGACCCACATGATGTGTCCTTGCCTTTCTCCAACCCCAGCCAACCCTTCTTTCCCCTCCCTCTGAGCTCCAGCCCATAGGTCTCCTCTTTTCACACACTCCACCCCTTCGCGTCTGGGGCCTCCACACTTGCCATGACTCCACCTGAAACAATCCTCCCCTACTCTTCACATGTTTGGCCCATTTTACCCCTTAGGCCTCAGCTCAAGTATCACCTGGGCAGATAAGTCTTTGCCCATCACCTTCCCTGAAGACATACCTCCCATTGCTCTCTCATCGCCCATTCCTTCCTCAGCACTAATCAAAACCATAAATTATTTTGCAGTGGTTGGTTTGTTGTTGGCGCTGGCAGGCTGGTGTGTTTACTTGTTAATTATCTTTCCCACTAGATCCTAGGTTCACGGGGGGCAGGGCTCCTGTGTCTCGTTCACTGCCGTACTTTCAGATCCTGCCACAGAACCCAGGAAACAAGGGTTCAAAAAATACTTGCAGGAGAAATCAACGAAGGAGGCTGTGCATCCTCAGCAAATGTGGGCCAGGCCATGGAGGGGATGGGCTCGGCTTCCCGACCTCAGAGCTTCCCAGTGCCCACAGCCGAAGATACCTTATCCCAGCCCGTAGGCCAGCCCAGCCCCGCTCTGTGTATGAGAACAATCCAGTCTCTAGTGGGAGGAATTTAAGGAATGCTAGTTAGTAACATGCGTGACCCAGCACCAACTCGCCCTCACTGACTGGGCTGCTCTGACCCCGTGCCCCTATTACAGAAACTGACGAGTCCAGAACCCAACCCCCTACTCATCCCCCAGCTCCCCTAAACGGGTCTCCGCCTTGCCTCACAGTGCTCCCAGGGATTAGAGATCCATACTGAAACCCGAGCACACCCTACACATCTGAGCACTTCTGCTTCCCCATCCCCTGTCTACACCCCCTCCCACCCACCTCGGCCACGACGCCCTCCAGGTGCCAGGCTCTGCCTGCCCCCACACCTCCTCCTGACCCCTGCCGTGGGCTCCTACCCAGTGTTCACAGCTAGTTTCCGGATCGCTGGACCCCTGTGTTCTTTAAAAGAATAACTGATAGACTATCCTTCAGGGAAAAAACACAAAGCTGGCTTATACTGGCCGATAAATATAACTTCCTGAGAATGTAAGAAAACAGCTGGTGACAAAGTTAATATGCACAAGACAAAACACAGGTGGCTGACGACGTGAAGTTACAGTTTCTGACACCATCCACCCCAGGACAGGGCAAAAAATGAATGAGTCCTTTCCTCCACGTGGAACCACGCGTCCTCCTGGTAATGGTCTGTTCACCACAAGCCGGTCCAGGCAGAGGGAGAGGAAGACGCCTGCTCTGCGACAGGCCCCAACCCAGTACCCACGAGGGCAGGGGAATCGGTGCTGTCTCAGGGACAGGACATACCCCATCCCACTCGAGCAGAGGATAACGAACAGGAATTTCCAATAGACTTTTCCATGCAGAGACCAAATAATAGAATAGAAAATATTTGCTCAAAGGACTGTCAGCAAAATGCTTTGCTTCTCCACATCTGAGGGACTTCTTTCTCTTACCCTCTGTCTTCTGATTACGTACTTATTACAGAATGTTGGGGAAAGACTGAAAACTGCATAAAGAATATTTTTTAAGAGTACATATTTAATCAGTGAAGATGCCAAAAAATTATTAAATTTGACCTACTGCTTCCAGCCTTTATTCCTACATCTTAAAATACTTTTGAGATCATACTATACATGTCACCTGGCTTTCTGAAAATTACAATCATACATAAATATTTATTTCTCCATCTTATTTCAAACTCTTCCTAAGCACCACTTATATCCAACACAGATTTATTATTTTAATAAATAATTAAAATAAATGATTTTATTTTCTATGTGTACGTAGGGGTGTTTGGAATAATTTTGAGATGATAAATAAACAAGAGCTTGGAAGATTCCCCAAAGTACCATTATTACGGAGTCTCACAGCCCAGGAAGGGAGCCACTCGGCCCATTTCAGCACAGGGAAAACCTCACACTTGTCATGGGCACCCGCTTCGCCGCCTGCCCGTACCTGCCGCAGTGAACCACCACCGCGACCAGGTCGTACATGCGGTCCAGGTTCACCGCATCGCTGGAGGTGTTGAAGAGCCGGAGTTCCAGGGGGAAGACCACTCGGTAGGACAGCTTGGTGTACCTGTGCAGCTGCTCCATGTACTTGAACCGCTTTAGGTGCAGGGCCAAAATCATGGGCAGCTTTTTGACTCTCATCCTAAGAAACCACGAAATAAAAATCAGTTGTACCCAGCACGTGTTAGGGAAACGGAATACACTGCTGCCTACACAAATAAAGAGCAGGAGGGGGCTAACAAGCTTCAAATCAGCAAATAACCAAACTACTTGCAAGAATAAAAGCATGCTCGCTTACGTAGCACTGACTTTCATCCTACATTCTTGGCTAACTGGGGCATAGGTAGTGAGAGAAGAGCATGACAGCTAGTTTCTGTTTGGTCAAAGCAGACATTCCAGAATTTTGTACCAATAAAAATATAATGTGTGATTGCTCTCTGTCACTGCCCTCTGCCTCCCAGGAAGGAACAATATTTGAACAATCACCCCGCCCACCCCCCACCCAGAGATAATGGAGACGAGGGGTAATAGCTTTTGAGAAAAGGAGGTTGGGGAGAGGACAAGCAGAAGGGCATGGGCTGGACTTGCAGGTTCTGAGGACTGGTACGGATGGGCAGACGCTGCACACCACCGGCCACCAGGAAGCCAAGCATGCTGGGCCCCTCTCACTCCTTGCTCTTGTGCTCTTGAGCAAGTCACTTCCCTTTTCCAGCTCTCAGTTTCCTCATTTACAAAACACAGGGGCTGGCTTAGGGCTACACTTCCCAAGCTGGGCTATTACAGCACTGGAGATGTTAATAGGTGGGGCGTTTCCATGGCCAAGTTTGGACATGGCTACTTTCTATTCTCAAGCTCCTCCCTGCTCTTTCACATGTGGAAGGTTCTGAGAAATCCCAGAGTAAAAGAACTGTTCTCTTTTGTTTGATGCAGCATTTCCCAAACTTACATAGACACAGGAAGCTTTTTTCACTAGATGACCATTAATACTCCTCAGTCAAAAGTCACAAAGACAACAGTTTACGTAGATAATTCTGCCAGAACAGAGGATCTTCTGGTTGCCCTCCAGGACCCCCGTTCTGTGAATGCCCTGAATTAGTGTAAATGCTGTTCAGTGTGCACCTATTTTAAATGCATGTTATTTGAAAGGGACAAATTTTAAGACAATATTTTGCAGGAATCTATTGAGGTAAAACCCTGTTCGTAAAAATAAGCAAAATAACCACATCAGCAGGAAGATAAGATTTATAGGGAACCGTGTATTTTACAGGAACATGCGCCATTTTAAGGTCTAAAACCTCCAGGGGGAAAAAAAATCCCAAAAAACAAAACCTCCAGCCTAGAACAGAAAACACCTCATGTCACACAGGAAGACCTGGGCCCCACCTTAGGCAGATTCAGAGTATGCGATGGGAGCAGAGGCAAGTGAGCTCCCCTGACCACTAACGAAAGGTAACTGCGTCCCACCTCCATCCCGTCTGCCACACGACTAACCTTTCATAAGTTTGGATGCAGCAAGGAAAAACGTGCATGTCTGGGGGCAAAGGGCTGGGACGCTGGGCAGAGAAATGATTTCAGCCTCGGCTCTAGACCCGAGGGTTTTAGACAGCAGTAATGAGAACCGTGAGTTACCCTGACCATGCCACAGCCGTGCGCCGGGCAAAGCCAACCCACAGGAAGGCTGCACAGGATAATCAAAATGTCAACTTTCTTGGCTTCTGGGGATAGATAACAGGGAATCACTGCTTCTCTCAGACTGTCCAAGAGTTGAAAGTGGCTTGTGCTGGTAAAAAGATGGGTAACCTTGGGTCCTAGTTCAATTCAGAGTGTGATAATTTCCTTATTGCCTCTCCATATAACTGATATTTAATTGATTTCTTTATGATTCCTTACTAAATGATTAATTTTTTTAACCTCTATGTCTTCTAAGTAAGAAGTTCCAATGCTTAAGCAATACTATCAATCTTATTGAGTGACCACTATGCATTACATACTATGCTAAGTTCTTTTTATAACTTGCCCTTATTCCCAAAAGGACAGAGATTATACTGATCACCACTTGTTTACCCAGCAGAGTACCTGGCACATACATAGTAGCACTCGATAAATATTCGTTGAATGAATGAATGAACGAACAGATAAACAAATGAGCAAACGATCAGATGAGTGCACAGCCTCTGAGGATGGCGTCCCTATCCCAGTTTTTCCAGTGAGGAAGGTGACTGACTCCCCAAGGCTACCCGGCTAGGAGCCCGTGGAACTGGGATTGAAAATCAGATCTGTCAGACGCCACAGTCTGGTTCCTTCTCAAGGCACACGGCCACCCTCCCGCGCGACACTTCACATACCTCTTCTGGGCCTCCTGTTTGCTGCAGCACGTTTCACAATAATACTTCTGTTCACTACACAGTGTTTCCGTGTTGCTGAAGTCTCTGCAGAGGAAAATATTTTCAACTTAAAAACAAGTCCAAAAGGCACTTGGTATACCATGTTCTAAGTCCTTTATTACCTGTAGGGTAATTTTTAAGTGAATGTGCAGAAAGAAGTAATGGCAAAAGAGCTTTCTTACGAGCCAGTGCTCCGATGCCATCAGCGCACATCCACAGGACCGGGTGACAAGCCCACCATGAGAGATTTTCAAGCACAGCTTTACTTAATGGACACAGCTAGATCTGAACTAGGGTTTGCAACTGAGCCAGGAAAAATCAGAGTTTAACAGAGAACAGCTGTACACTGGAGATTACAAATTATCATAGAAAAATAGTAACTACAGTAAAAGCCCACCATTACACTATAAGTTGAGTCCAAAAAAATCACAAAAACGCGACGTGACATTATTGTCAGTTAATGAAAAATAGCGTGAATCAGGTGGTCTCCATTTTCAAAGAGCATAAACGTTAAGACAGTGAAATTTAAACCACACACAACTGCCCTTATCTTGAACTAAGGAAGTCCCAAATTATCAGGAGACGACTACTTCCTACCAACCACCAGCGCTGCCCCGCTCCCCACCTCCCCGCACCCCGGAAGGTAAGAACTTGAGCCTGCTCCTTTTGAGAACAAATGCCACTGTGATGTTCTATCTGCATTCGCCTTGGGTGAGGTGTTACTGTACTACTTAGGGTTTTCATTTTTTAAATGTCATGGCTTTTCCTTCTTTTCCAGTCACTGAGATTCCACTTAGCATTCCTGTCGTACTGCTTCAAAGGCTGAAAGGAACATCCAGAATATAAGAATACCCTGGAGTCTCGAAAAGGTCTATGACATTTCCTTATTCATAGGGAATGTCCCGGCATCGGAATGATCAGATTTTATTAAATAGAAAATGTTATTTTGACGGTGTTAATGACTCTACCACTTGAACAGAGCTTATCAAAATAAAATATAAATTGTCCATTCATTAAATCTCAAACAATTACTGAGAGTACTCTGGGCTCCGTGCTGGGGATTCGCAGAGTACCTGCCCTCACACAGCTCACAGTCTAACAGACACATGCAAATGAGCCACTGACAACATTTAGTGTTCAGTGCAGGTTAAATGTAAATCAGTTCACACAATTGAGTCCCCTGCCTAAAACCCACCAATGGTTCCTCAGTGCACTTTGGAATAAAATCCAAATTCATTGCCATGGCCAATAGGCCGTCCACCCCCATACCTCTGAATTCTCTTCTGACCCCATCTCCTTCACTCTGCTCTAGCCACACCAGCCAGGTTTCTCCTGTAGCCCCAGAGAGCCAGGCTCTCCCTGCCCCAGGGCATTTGCAGGTGCTGTTTTCTCTGCCCTGATAGCTCCTTTCCACATGCTTCCATGGCTGGTTCCGCTGATTGTTCAGAGCTCAGCCTAAATGTTCCCTCTTTGGAGAGGACTTCCCTGGCCACTCTCTCCAACCTACTCTGCCCCATCCCGTTGCTGTCTTGTTTTCTTCTGAGCACTTAGCACTATCTAAAACCATCCTCCTAGTCATTTGACAACTTGCCTCCCCTCTCTGTGGGCAGTGACCCTGTCTCTCTCACTGCTAAAGCTCAGCACTGAGAACAGGCCCAACACATCATGGCATTTCATAGTGTGTGTTGGGTGACCAAACGAAGACAGAAGCAGGTGTACAAAGGCCAGGGGAAAGCACAGAGGAAGAAGAAATGAAGTTGAACTGGGGTAATTCAGGACATTTCCCCAAGGGATGATGTCCAAGTCAGGTTCTCAAGAGGGAAAGTGTACCAGGTGGAGGGAATGCCACAGCACAGAGGCATGGAGGCAAGGGACGGAGCACGCTTCTCAGAAGCTGGCGTGCACCATGTGGCTGAGCAGTCTCACTAACCAGACGCAACAAGGAAGAGACATAATCAGTGCTTTTAAGAAACGCCACTTCTGGCAGCATTGGAGAGGAAGGACAGGAGGGGGTCGAAAGGCAAGGAAACAATTTAGAAGGCAATAATCCTCATGCCTCAGATTTCAAGTGCTTGGTGCATTATATAGACTCAAACTTCGCTGAATGAATACTGGCTGACTCTTCAATGGATAACTGATGTGAAATCTTTTCTTGGCCTGCACAGGATTTATTGGGGTGGAATGGAGGAATCACGGTGAAGGGGAGGTGCGTATGGGCCACGGTAGAGATTTACATCCTTGGAATGTCTACCACAGACAAACCTCTTTATCAACTAAAGAAGCAGAATAACTAAGGCAGACACAGCAACGAATAAGGAATTAAACACTTTCTACTCACTCTCATTTTTCAAAAAAAGTTTTTTGAAGTATTTGCAGACCCAGGTAGGTAGAAACACAGCAGAACTTAGTACCTAATTTAGACCTGATTTACAAACAGCCACCATCCTGCTCAGCACCAGCTGGCTGGAGCCCGCGGTTGTGAGAGACAGGCTAATGCGTTTAGGGCACCTGTGAGTTGAGAATTGGAAAATGAGGCTAGGAAAAGGGGACAACCCTGGCAGGAAACTCTGAGGCAGAGCAGATCTGTCAGCTGATGCTGCACAGTTGTTGGAACAAAAGCAGACAACAAAGGTCGAAACCTTCCAAGGAGAAAGTCAAAGAGGAGAGAGACAGTAGAGAGATCTTTCCGACACTCGGGATAAATTACCAAAGCACGGGGGAGGCTGGTGGGAAGCACAAATGCTTTCTATTTCTTTAAAGAGAGTCATAGTGACAATAAAACACTGTTTAGAAATACACTTTGAGGGCCGGCCCAGTGGTGTAGTGGTTAAGTTTGCACACTCCACTTCAGCAGCCCAGGGTTTATGGGTTTGGATCCTGGGCATGGACCTACACACTGCTCATCAAGCCATGCTGTGGCGGTGTCCCACATACAAAATAGAGGAAGATTGGCACAGATGTTAGCTCAGGGCCAATCTTCCTCACACACACACACACACACACACAGAAATACACTTTGGGAACAAATCTAATATGAAATAAATGCCTCTTTAAGGAAAGAAAACTATAAAACCTCACGGAAATGTATATGAGAAAACTTGAAAAAAAGGAGAAAAACTATGTTCCTGGATGTATTGTAAAGACGGCTATCATGTCCAAGTTAATCTCTATATTTGATACATTTTTAATTAAAATCTTAACTTTTCCACTCAACACAAGAGTTCAAAAATTGATTTAAAAAAAATTCTCAAGCAATGCTTCTTGATAATTTTCATGTCATGACCCACAGACAAAATGATCCTATAGAGAAGGGAGCTGGGGTAAACCAATGAGGCTGCTCTTATGGCTGGCCATGGGGCTCTGACAGCTCCAGGCTCTGCCCAGCCTCCCAGGAGCCGAGGGATCAATAGACACCTGTACCCCATTTTCCAGGGCACACCAGTTGGGAGGCTTTTTTGCAGAATCTACAGCAGTGGTTCACCTGGCTGCTCATTAGAATCACCTGGGGAGCCTTAAAAACATTCTCAATGACCCCCAGCCCTATAAATTACATGAGAATCTCTCCAGGTAGAACACAGGCATTACTGTTCTTACAGCTTCTCAGGTGGTTCCAATGTGCTGCCAGGGCCGTGCACCCAATGCTTTGCAAATATTAGCATGCATGTGAATCACGAGATCCCATCAACATTCAGATTCTGATTCATTCATTCATTCTTGGGGGAGACCTGAGATGCTGCTGTACTAATGAGATCACAGGTGATGTCAATGGTGCTACTCCATGGAACCCTGTTTGAGTAGCAAAGGCTTAGAGCAGCTGTTCTCAAATTCTGGTGGTATTAAAACCACCTGGAAAATTAAAACCTGAGGCCCAGGCTCACAGAAGTTGAAAGTGACCTGAACCTCGATTTTTACCAACTTCCCCAGGTGATTCTGATACACACCAAAGTTTAAGAACCGCTGACTAGAGTATTAAAGAAGACTGAAAAAAGAAATCTACAAGAAAAACTTATGTGTCAGACATTAGAAAATACCTATTATCAATAACCAAATCCGAAACACAGGTCAGAGAAGCAGAAGAGAGATAAGCATGTGGCAACAGACAGGGATGGATATGAACTTAGTACATAAAAGAAGTTTCTCAAAATAAGTAGAAAATGAAAGTTTTTAAAAAGAAGAGTAATTTTGGGGCCAGCCCTATGGTATAGCGGTTAAATTTGGTGTGCCATGGTGTAGTGGTTAAATTTGGTGCGCTCTGCTTCAGCGGCCCTGGTTCACAGGTGCAGATCCCAGGTGTGGACCTACACCACTCATCAGCCATGCTGTGGTGGCAACTCACATACAAAATAGAGGAAGACTGGCAGAGATGTCAGCTCAGGGCTAACCTTCCCCAAGCAAAAAAAGAGGAAGACTTGCAACAGATGTTAGCTCAGGGCAAATCTTCCTCAGCAGAAAAAAAAAAAGTAATTTTAAAAATAGAGCTTTGGAAGAATTAAAAGGCACTTTCCTCCTGTTGTCTAGCTAACCTCCCCAGCACTAGGAGGATGGGAATTTTTAATGAGAGGAAGGCAGAGGAAGAGGAAAGTGGGTTCAGAACATGGAGCACTTGAGAAGAAAGGTAAGTTTCTATGAAGGAGCCACAACAAGAGACTAAGGCACTGAAATGGAAGACAAAACATACCAAAAAGGCCATGGAAGGATAATTAAGATAAACTACAGGTATTTTAAGGTTTTGCCTGAGGCCATCCCTGAACTTTACAAAAGAAAAACAATTCTCTAAGTATCCTCCTGTGATACAGCTGGCTCATCTTGCCTCAGACACAGCACTGAGATTTGAAATATTAGAATTATAGCTCAGCGACAACATGGACTTCATGGCTTCTCTAGACTCACATCCTGAATTTAACCACTATTCGTATTATCATTTCTCGGGGACAAAAGGTCAGTGAAAACACACTGTAATCGATCACATAAGCCCTTCTGGAAGGAGGCGGCAGAGATCTGGCATTTAAATCCCACGGTCTTAGCTTGATTTTTAACGTTTTTCATTATCAAAATAAAAGAAGGATAAAAATATCACATCAGAAGAGACAGGCAGACAGCGATGCTGAAGAAGAAAACTCAATTCTAATTTTAAAAATAAAACTTCAAGACTACAAATCAAATTAAACCATGAAATGGGCCAATAAAGATCATTCCTTTGATCATTCCTTCTCTTTTGTCTCAGACAGAAAAAGCTAATGGATCAGGTGGCTCATTTATTCCCTGGGCCTTTCTCCTGCACGTGTTTCTTTTGCGATGTGTTGGAAAGCTGCCACTCCCATCACAGACACCTGAATGGCAACCCTTGGCAGGCTTCTCTTTATTCATGCTGGGGAGGTGAGAGCTTAGGCATACATGAGGCCAGGTATCGGTAAGTCAGTTAAAGTCTAGTTTAAGGATGATGTAAAAAGGGGGTGGGGCAGGCACTTCAGGATTATCAGCCTGGACAGTCCAATCAGATGAAAATCCAATGTTACTTAAAAGGCATTCCAGGGTTACTTCATCACTCGCCCATCCCAGCTTTAACACCTCCAAATGCATCTAGCCTGCCTTCATCAGGTATGCATGACCAATAAACACATTTCTCCAGAAAAACAAATGGAAACCCAACTCTGGGTTACATTTCTTTATAATGAAGTTTCCCAAAGGTGGAAATTATAACTAGCCAGTTCGCCCTTTATCTGGTTGGTCTCAAAGCTCCGGCCACTGCGATCTGACCTTTTGAACAGCCCAGGAATTTCTCAGAAGGCAGGGGAAGCAGACAACTTCCCTACCTCCAAATTCTCCCCAACTCCCCTTCTCAAAAAAGAGGGATGAGCAAGTAATATCCTTCCTCTCATTCATTCTCTGTGATCACAAAACCTTGGGGAAATCAAAAACGGCTTCTTTTCACAGGAATATGAGGAACCCATGCCATAAACAACCATTCCGAAGAAAAAGAGGCCATCCTGGCCTAGAAAACACTTTGCAAACAAAGAGATAACAAGCTTGTCTTAGACACCTGGACCTAAGGCATTTGGAGACAAGACTGAAATGCCAAACCAACAGGACGTGCTGAGGTAACTAGGTTACTATCAGGGCAGAAGGCGGAGGGGACCTCGGACTCCTGGGAACTGGGAAAGCAACCAGCGCCCCCTACACGCACACACACAATCCGTCACACCCCGACGAACCCCGAAGCTCTTCCACGATGAAGTTTGGTGCCTTTGCCCTGAAAGATGACAGCCATCCATCACAGGAAGTCCCTTCAATCTAGTCTTCTAAAACTGATAAAAATCAACAGCGCCTTGTCCTAGCACTATAAAACATCCCTGAGCTATGGCATCCTAAGAATGGGGAGGCCTGCCCTGAACACTTGGTCTACACTGGCATCCACACTACCAGGCACTCTCTAGGCCTGTTTAACTCCCTTCAAAGCACTGATCACTGTCTGTGGATGCCCACTAGGACATAAATGGTGCGAGAGCAGGGACCCTGTCTGATACTCACTCCTCTATCCCCAGTGTCCAGACAGGGCTGGGATAATTACAAGCACTCACAACCTCTTGTTGAAAGGAGGACGGGGAAGGGTGTGAGGAGGGGAAAGGGAATCATGTCTTTATATCAACTTCAGGCACATCATCAATGTGCAAGTCAATACACAAATACCAAGTAATCCTGGGCAGGTGTTGCTCTTACACTCTGGGCTCCTTGCCTTCTCTCAGCCCTAATGAGGAGGAATTTCTTTCCATAAATAATCTCCATAGAATGCAGAAAGATGGAGGAAGAGGCAACTCCCTCGTTGGTTCTCAGCTCAAAAGTGCATAGTTTTGAAAATAATAGATTAGCTTAGAAAAGGAAAGTAATGGTAGGCATCTGCAGCATTTATTAACTTAACCATGTGGTTGTGCGTACACACGTGATGGAGAAAGAGAGAGAGTTATGAAAGCCAAATGCGCACATCTGTATTAAAGATTAAAAACTTCTTTTTAAACGTAATGACTAATGACTTCCACTTGATCCTCTCTCTTCTCAGCAGGACTCGTCTCTAGATCACATATACTTATTTTTAATCTCTCTTGGGGAAGAAGAAATACTAAATAATAGGATTACATTGGTTTACCAGAAATGAAGATTATCTACTGAAGAAATACAGGATTTTCCCCCCCCACTTATTTACTAGCCTGGTCAAAAGCTCAGGCACAATCAGAATTCATGAGGTTACCTTAGACAGTGGGTAATAGATGTATTCTGCTCCACATCCACAGAAAGGTCAAGAAAATCTTCATCTTTGCTACTAACCTGAAGCAAGAAAAGAAAAAAACATATTAGGCACAAAACACACAATAGACAGAGTAGACAGAACTTTGAACACCTACGGTAACCAAAAAACCATAACGCCAGAGTCGTATGTGGCTTTGTAAACAGTCATTCCTCAGTATCCACCGGGGACTGGTTCCGGGACCCCCATGGATACCCAAATCCACAGATGCTGAAGTGTATTGTACAGAATGATGTCGTATTTGCATATAACCTAGGCACATCCTCCCCTATACTTTAAATCATCTCTAGGTTACTTACAATATCTAATACAATGTAAGTGCTATGTAAATAGTTGTTATACTGTATCATTTAGGGAATAATGACAAGAAAAAAAAGTCTGTATATGTTCAGTACAGACTTTTCTATCTGCGGTTGGTTGACCCTGCTTAAGGGGAACCAGCAGATAAGGAGGACTGACTGTACTCACTGGCAACCAGAGTTACCTCAAAAACAACCCAATCTAGAGAAAATCCCAAATTCTCTATTGAACCTTCTCCCTGTGTCAGCTTTGACAAAGAGCTTTTGATAATTCAAACTCAACCACATTTCTCTCCCTTCTCCATTCACTTCCTCCATCGTTTCAAAGTAGAAAGTATCAGACAAACATCATATAGCCCAGAGCGGCAGAATGACAGAAACGGCAAATGGGCAAGAGACTTAGAAAACCTACTAATCAGATGACCACTCCTTCATTAAGTTGTTTGCACCTTCTACCAGTTCCTTGAAATCACTCCCTTTCTCTGGTGCCTCATCATCCAAACTGTCTGTGGAGCCAAGAAGCCTAATGGGTGATGAACTGGAGAGTCCCGCTGACCACACATAGAGCTGTCCTCCAGCCCAGGAAGTGGTCATCATTTGCAGAGGCCTGTGCTGTCTGCAATAACAATTGGACCTGTAGCTGGCCTGGAGCCTGGGCTCACACGGGCCCGCCATACTGGGGACGGCTCTCAGCAGGCCTGGGTCACTGGCCCCAGCAGTTTCTCAGGCCTCCACAGTTCACACCACACCAGTTTTGGGTCTTGTACTTACTGAAGCCACACAGAGGAAGTGCTTACATTCCAGCAGTGCTCTGGCAAGCCTGGCATTTCACTGTCTTGGAGTGGGAGGGACAAACTAGCCCAGCAACTTCTCTGAGGTGCTCAATTAGCAGAAAAATGAAAATAATGCTTCTTTAAGTGTTAGAACTACCCCATGATTCAATACTCCACTGCTAGGAAATTATCTAAAGAAATACTCAGAGATGTAGACACGATCTGTTATAAGTACACACAAGAATGTGTGTTGAGACAGGCTGCCCAGCTCCACATCCTCTCTCTGTCACTTACAAAGTGGATGACTTTAGGTCAGTTACTTAGCCTCTCTGTACCTCAGTGTCTGCATCTGCAGAGTGGGGACAGTAAGAGTATCTATTTCAGAAGGTTGCTGTAAGGATGAAATAAGATGATACACATAAGGTGCTTTAAGAAGTATGGTGACAGACGGTAATTGGTCTTTCAGTGGTGAACATGATGCAGTCTATAGAGAAATCGAAATATAATGATGTACATCTGAAATTTATATATAATGTTATAAACCAATGTTACCTCAATTTAAAAAGAGAAGTAACCACTCAACAAATCGAAGAAGGGTAAACATTTTTAAATGGCCTAAAATGGTCAAAAAGTTGAGAATGTTTTACTGCACTGTGGGTACCACAGTAAATGAAAAGGTAGGCTATACAATTATATATAAGTTAATTCCAACTTTGCAAGAAAAAGGCATGTATACATTTAAACACACACATGCCCTACTTCTATCACCTTGCTGTAAGTTTTTTATGGCACTTATTACTGCTGTGTAGAATGCATGAATGGCCCCAAATCTTCATCATTGCCTATACTGGCTTCTTTGCTGTATGACTTTTACAGATCCTCTCATCAAGAGGCATACGTCCCAACCCCTGATTCTGAGTTAAGCCATGTAACTTGCTTTAGCCAATGGGAAGTTTGAAGACATGTTATAAGCAGAGGCTTGAACAAGCCCTGGTGAAATTGCTCTCTTGTACTTCTGTCATCACCATGAGAAGGAGAAGCCCAGGCTAGCCCACTGTTCCCAGGAAGAAGACAGGAGACCCATAGAGGAGAGCTGTTCTCACTAAGGTGCCCAGCCAAGCCCACTCAAGAACGCAATGCCCCTGTGACCTGCAGACACACAAGTGAGTCAGTGGAAATACAAATACACAAGTTCAGCCAAGTCCAGCCTAGATCAGACAGCCTTCAGCCAACCCAAAGTTGCATGAATTATAATAATAAGTAATAGCTGATTTAGTCTCAGAGTTTTGGGGCGGTTGGTTACAAAGCAATAGATAATTGATACAATTATTTAACATTATAATGTTTTATTTTTATTTGTTTATTGTCTACCTCTTCCTTACTAAAATGAAAGTTCAAAAGACTGGCTTCAGTAATGACTAAGACACTGGCATTTCAACACTCCTCCAGAAAACTATAAATTCAGGTAACTTCAAGAAATATCCAACTCAATTAGGAAAAGCAACCTAAGGATTATAGGTTTTCCAGAGGGAGAAAGGAGTAGAGAGCTTGCTCAAAGAAATAATAGCTGAGAACTTCCCAAACCTGGGGAAAGAAGTGGACTTAGAAATACATGAAGCCAATAAAACCCCTAATTACATCAATGCAAAAAGACCTTCTTCAAGGCATATAATAGTAAAATTGGCAAAATTCAATGACAAAGGAAAAATATTAAGGGCAGAAAGGAAGAAGAAAATAACCTACAAAGGAACTCCTATCAGGCTTTCAGCAAATTTCTCAGGAGAAACCTTACAGGATAAGAGAGAATAGAATGATACATCCAAAACATTGTAAGAGAAAAACTCTCAGCCAAGAATACTCTATCCAGCAAAACGACCCTTCAGATATGATGGAGAAATAAAAGCTTTCCCAGATAAACAAAGCTGACAGAGTTCACTGCCACTAGACCTCCCTTACAAGAAATGATGAAGGAAGCCCTTGGGCCTGAAACAAAAAGGCAAAGGACTACAAACCTTTGAGCAAAGAGATAAGTAGATAGACAAAATCAGAAAATTGCAGCTCTCTATCAGAACAGGTTAGCAAACAATTATAACATAAAAGATAAAGGGAAGGAAAGCATTAAAAATAATTGTAAAAACTTTAATTTACTCACAAACTCATAACAAAAAAAAGAATAATTTGTCACAGCAATAACCCAGAAGGGGATGAGGAAAGGGATGGAACTTGCTTAGGCTAATGTAAAAATGAGGCTATCAGAAAATGGATTATCTCATCTATGAGATCTTTTTTCAATTTTTATCTTTTGCTGAGGAAGATTTGCCCCAAGCTAACATCTGTGCCAGTCTTGCTCTATTCTGTATGTGGGTCACCACCACAGCACAGCCACTGCTGAGTGGTGTACATCTGCACCTGGGAACTGAACCCAGGCCGCTGAAGCACAGCACACTCAACTTAACCACTAGGCCACAGGGCTGGCCCCTCATCTATGCGACCCTTTATACAAACCTTGTGGTAACCAATAAACAAAAAATCAGGCTGAGCCACAAACTATAAATAAAGAGAAAACCATCACAGAAAACCACCAAACTGAAATGGCAGTCAGAAATACAAGGGAAAAGAAACAATGGACAGATAGAACAACGGGAAAACAAGAGATAAAATGGCAGTATTAAGTCCTCATATATCAATAATCACTCTAAATACAAATGTATTGAATTATCCAACCAAAAGACACAGAGCAGCTAGATGGACTAAAAAACAAGACCCAACAATATGCTACCTCCAGAAAACATACCTCAGGTCTAAAGACAAACAGGCTCAGAGTGAAGGGATGGAAGACAATACTCCAAGCAAAGAGCAAACAAAAGAAAGCAGGTGTTGCCATAAGACAAAGAAGACTTCAAGATAAAAAAGACAATGAGATAAAACAAGACAAAAAAGATAAAAACAGACAATGAGCAACAAGGAGGGGTAGTATACAATGATAAAAGGGACATTCCACCAACAGGACATAACACTTCTGAATGTATATGCACCTACCATGGAGTGCCAAAGTATACACATCAACTATTAACAGACCTAAAGGGAAACCGACAACAACACAATAATAGTAGGAGACCTCAACACCTCACTTCCTTCAATGGGTCAATCATCCAGACAGAAAGTCAACAAGGAAACAGTGGCCTTAAACGAAACATTAGACCAGATGACCTTAACAGATTATATAGAGAGAGTATTCTATCCAAAAACAGAATACACGTTCTTCTCAAGTGCACATAGAACATTCTCAAAGATAGACCATATGTTGGGAAACAAGGCAAGCCTCAATAAATTTAAGAAGACTGAAATCATATCAAGTGTCTTTTCCAACCACAATGCTATGAAACTAGAAATCACCTAAAAGAAAAAAGCAGGGAAAGGCACAAATATGTGGAGATTAAACAACATGCTACTGAACAATCATTGGATCAATGAAGAAATCAAATGAGAAATCAAAAAATACCTGGAGACAATGAAAAAGAAAACACAACATACCAACTCACATGAGATGTAGCAAAAGCGGTACTAAGAGGGAAACTTACAGCAATACAGGACTATCCCAACAAACAAGAAAAGTCTCAAATAAACAATCTTAAACTACACCTAACAGAATTATAAAAAGAAGAACAAACAAAGCCGAAAGTCAGCAGAAGGAGGTAAATAATTAAAATCAGAGCAAAAATAAATAAGAGATTTTAAAAAAAACAGGATCAATGACACTAAGAGCTGGTTCTTTGAGAAGTTAAACAAAAATGACAAACCCTTAGACTGACTCACTAAGAAAAGAAGAGAGAAGGTGCAAATAAATAAAATTAAAAATGATAGAGGAGCAATTACAATGGATATCACAGAAATACAAAGGATTATAAGAGAAAACTATGAAAAACTATATGCCAACAAATTGGATAA